TACTATTATTTTAAATGTCTAACTATTATTGCAAACATTTATTTCTTCTTTCATTTCTGTCAGCTTTTCCTGTAGGCATTTTTTTTATGATAATTTTTTTTTATTGTACTTCAGGTGAAGGCTTACAAAACAAATAGTTTCTCATGAAACAGAAGTACACATGTTATTTTATGACATTGGTTAACAACCCCACAACATATCAACCCTCTAACTTCTCAACCTCTCTTTTTTTTTGGTGAAAATACACATAGCTAAAGATACACCATTTCAAAAATTTCTACATGCACAGTTCAGTGACATTGACTACGCTCTTCCAATTGTGCTGTTATTCTCACTTAAGATGAAGGCTTACAGAACTAAATAGTTTCTCCTTTAACAGTTACTATAAATGTTGCCTTATGACAATGGTTAACAATCTCACAACACATCAACAATATCCTTACTCAACCTTGGGTTCCTTATAACCAGCTTCCTTGTCCCCTTCTGCTTTCTGGCCCTTGTCACTGGACTCCTGTACCTCGTTAGTCTCATTTGGTTTTATGGGGCTGTCCACTCCCAGGCTGAACAGTGAACCTCGGAGGTAACTTCACCACTGAGCTAAAAGGGTGACTGGGGGCCATACTCTCGGGGTTTCTCCCGTCTCCTTTAGGCCAGTAAATTTGGTCTTTTTTTTGTGAGTTAGAATTATGCTCTACATCCTTCTCCAGCTCTGTCCAGAACCCTCTGCTGTGATCCTGGTCAGATCCTGCAGGCATTTTTAAGTTCTGTTGTTAGGTGCATACACGTTTAGGATTGCTATGTCTTCTTGGTAAATTGACCCTTTTATCATTATATAAGGTTCCTTTTGCCCTTCATCATTTTCTTTTCTCTGAGTCTTTGTCTGACGTTAATATAGTCACAACTTTCTTTTGATAGCTTTTTTGGGGAGGGGGGTATGGTATATCTTTTTCCATCCTTTTGCTTTTAACCTACATATTTCATTATATTTGAAGTGAGGTTCTTGTAGACAACACATAATTGGGTCTTGTCTGTTTTTATCCATTCTGATAATTCTCTCTCTTTTAATTGGTGTGCTAGACCACGTAGATTTAATGTAATTATTGGTATGTTTGCATTTAGGTCTACCATTTTATTACTTATTTTCTCTTTGTTCCTTCAGTTTTTTTTGTTTCTTTGCTTCTCCTTTCCTGTCTTCTTTAGGTTATTAGAACGTTTTTCAGTAATTCATCTTAATTTATCTATTGTGCTTTTAGGAGCCCTGCTGGCACAGTGGTTAAGAGCTTGGCTGCTAATCAAAAGGTCAACAGTTTGAATCCACCAGCCCCTCCTTGGAAATCCTATGGGGCAGTTCTACTCTGTCCTATAGGGTCACTATGTGTCAGAATTGACTTGACAGAGTGGGTTTGGTTTTTCTTTTTTTAATTATGTTTTTAACTATATCTCTTTGTATGTTTTTTTTTTTTTTTTTTTTTAATGGTTACTCCAGGGATCACAATACACATACTCAACTTTTTAGAGTCTACTTAGAATCACTATTTTACCACTTCAAGTGGAATGTAGAAACTTTACCATCATATAAGTCCCTTTACCCTCCCCCATTTATGCTGTGGTTATCATATATTACATCAACATACACTGAAAATCCCATCCAACAATGTTATATTTTTTTGCTTTCAACCATTGAACATAATTTTAAAAACTTGAGAAGAATAGTCTATTGTATTTCCCCAGATGTTTACCAGTTCTGTTACTTTTCTAACACTCCTGATGTTCCAAGTTTCCTTCTGGTATCATTTCCCTTCTGTCTGAAGAATCTTCCTAGTAATTATTTTAGAGATGTCTGCTGGGAACAAATTCTTTTAGTTTTACTTCATCTGAAAAATGTCTTCAGTTCACCTTAATTCTTGAAGGGAGTTCTCACTGGATATAGAATTCTGGGTTGACATTTCTTTTCTTTCTATACTTTTATTGTTCCACTTCCTTCTGTTCTTCATGGTTTCTAATGAGAAATCCACAGTCATTTGAATTGTTGTTCCCCTATAATTACATATGTTTTTTCTTTTGGCTCTTCAAAATTTTTTCTTTGTTTTCAGTTTTCAAGAGTTTAATTGGAATATGTCCGGATGTGTATTTCTTTGGGTTTATGCTTTTGTGGTTTACTAAGCTTCTTGAATTTGTAGGTTTATATCTTTTGCCAAATTGGGGGAGTTTCCAGCCATTATTTCTTCAAATGCAATCTGTTCACATTTTATAGTTGAATTTTGTAAGAGAGATGGGTGGAGTGTGCTTACTCCATCTTACCTGGAAACAGAATCTTTAAGTCCATTTTGATTAATATTATTATGGCTACACACTACCTTTATTTTTATTAAAATTTGCCTAGAATAGCTTTTCCCACTTCTTTACTTCCAAACTTTCTGTATCTTAATATTTATTTGTCTCTGGCTTTTAAAAAATTATTCAATATGACACTCTCTTTTAACCTAGACATTTTGTTCATTTACATTTATTATAAATTAGAACAAACTGACCAAGCCCAAACTAGTCTCCTGGAGGTAATTCTAGTTGCCTGGAAGCTGACCACATATACATGAGTGAGCTCAGCCAAGACCACCCACCTGAGCCTAGCCCAAATTAATGATGCACAGAATTGTGAACTAAATAAATATGTGGTCAGTTTCCAGGTCATCTGGGGATGGCTGGTCTAGGATGGCCTCAGTAAGGATGGATTTTCTTCGCTTCACTGGTCTCTCATCCTCCAGCAGAATAGCCCTTACTTGTTCACTAAGGGTTTCAAGTGAGTGAGCAGAAGTGTGCAAAGCCTCTTGAGGCCTAGGCTCAGAACCAACATCACTTCTGCCACATTCCATTGGTTAAAGCCAAGTTGGAAGGGCAGTCTAGATTCAAGGAAAGATTCCACTTCTTGGTAGTAAAATCACATGGAGGGAAATTGAGTTTTTAAAATAAAAAAAGTGATATTTAGTGGACTATATCTGGGATCAGAGTGGAATAATTGTGACCAATTTTTGCAAGAAATCTACAATACTCCTTTTCATGGTTACTGTCTCTTCATAACTCTGTCTTCCCCTGTGGAGATATTATCTCAAATCTGTCTTCTAGTTCACTAAGTCTCTCTTCAGCTATGACTAATTTCATTGCGTTTTTAATTTTAAATGACTATATTATTCATTTCCAGAAGTTCTATTTGATTTTTCTTAAATCTGCCTATTCTTTTTTTCATAGTGTGATTTTTCTCTTATGTTTTTTACTTCTTCCTTTTTCATTTAAACATACTTACTTTATAGTTTCTATCAGATTGTTCTCAGGTGTTTAATCTTGCTGTTTGTGTGTCTCCCACTTTTGATCATGGTTGATAGTTTCCTTTTGTATGTTATGCATTTATTTTTATCAGGGCTTCATCTGTGGGTAGGAGTTCTGTGTGGCCTCAGTTGAGGACCTATTCCTTGAGCAGGTTTTGAGTTTGTTTCTGTTAAGCACCTCATGGATATCACTATCCTGGGACAAATATTTATGTTAATCTCTCAGTTTTAGGGTTTGAGGGTAAAGTCTATTTGAATTTGAAGCTTGTGTGAGCAACGGCCCTTGGTAACAAACTATCAGGGTTTTTATTTTTTTTTAATCGTGCCAGCCCGGGTTGACAGAAAAATTTCACTCTCATCTCTCTGTGCCTCACGGTCTTCCTCTCCACCCCTATACATTGTTTCACCTAGGGTATGGCTATAGACAGTCCCGTTTTAGTTGGGTCTCTGGTTCAATCCCTACTTTAGGTGGGTCCAAGATCCCAGCTAGGCTCACAATTTGCCCCACTTTCTGCCTGTACCCTCTCCCTCTAATTAGGGCAGCTGTGGCCAACTTAGCCTTATCACCCTCAGGTTCAGTTCTTTCTTCATTTCTGCCTCTTAGGGATTTCTTTTTGTATTTTAATTGCTTGGATTTAAAAGGTGGTTGTTGTTGTTTGTATTTTAATCTAGCTTTCCTAGATGTTTAGAGCAGGGTGGTGTTCAGGTCATCTAATCTGCTATACTGCTCAAAACAGAAGTCCTAATATACACACAAAATAATTCATTTTTTTAAAAAGAATCAGAGTTATACACTTTCAAGACCCTTAAAGCTAACAGAAGCTCTGCAGAAAACAGTTTAAAAACTACTGATACAAAGGGCAAAACTTTGGCTTGCTGGCCACTCCAGCCCTAGTACCCTCATGCTCTGTGGCTCAGGGCAAATTACTTAGCTTCTCTGAGCCTTTCTTTTTCTTTCTGTATAGATGATCATACCCAACTCCCAGGGCTACAGAGAGACTTACCTGGAAACATGTATGGAAAGTCCTGGCCCTGTGATGCTTGAAGGAGGAGCTCTCCAAATTGCAGCCATTGGTATAATCTGGAAAATTCCCCCAGGTGTAACACCTCTCTGCCCAGCCAGGTGATGAAGGCTGCCTGGTGACAGCTTTCCACCCATTGTTGCAGGCTATTTTAAGCCCATACTAAGGCATCAGTACAAAATACAGTCACCCAAGCAGAACTGGGGACCCAGGAGTCCTGTCTCCTCTGCTGCCTATTGCTAAGGCAGGCAGCTGGGCTGGTCACCCCCCGAGGACAGTGCTCCCCTGACCAGCTCTGGGCAGGGACCCCTTGAGGAGGGAGCTCACTCCCTCCCCCACTGACCTCGATTTCCAAACAGCCCATTCATCCTGGGTACTAGGTGGTATGATGGGGATTGACGAAGCACCCCAGCTGCCTTTCCCAGACCAGGATGGGGGACATCACAGCGGCAGCGACTCCCAGGGAGGCTCCTGCATGGGAAGAAAGACATTTCTGTCTCTCATTCCGCATCAGGTTTCGCCCTTCCCTTCCGCCGGACAATCCCGACCTTCACCGTGAGGGGGCTTTTGCAAACACACACGCGCACACGTATTTTTGGAAGAAGGGGAAAAATTCCAAGAGAACTTCTGCTCGGTTAAAAATGAAGTGATGATTACATTAAGAAAGCAAGCCGAGCAGGCCGCTCAGGCGCAGACAGAAGGCCCTTTCATCGCGCCACGCCGCGCGCCGGGGGCAGCTGCCAACACAAACGCGGGCGGAACCCAACCTGCGGAGCTGCCGGCGGCGCTGCCAGGCCGCGCTCGCCGCTCGAGGCTGGCGCCGCGCTCGTTTCCGCTCTGCTGACGCGCCGAAAACGGCGGGCGGGCACGGAAACCCGAGCGGCGGGCGCGTAGCTAGGCCGCAGCGCTGGCCGGGGCACACTGCCTCCAGATTGAGCTCACTTTCGCGCCCGCGGGCCCCCGGGTGGGCCCGGAGTTTCCCGCCTCCGCGCGTTTCCCCTTGCTGGGAAATGTCTCTTCCCCGGGCCACTCGTTCTGGGACGCCTAGTGCATCACCCCTCCACGGACTCCCGGTCGTTAACCAGGCTTCCCTCGCGGCCCTTAGGCCCGAGTTCGAAGCAGGGTCTGTGCCCCTCCTGCGGTCCCTCATCCAGTATGAGTTCCCCCACCTAAAAAAAAATAGAAAAAACTAAAAACTTATTGGGGTGAAGATAGGGTCCAGAGCTGGCTCCCCATGGAAACCCTCTTGCAGGGCAGTCTGTGGTTTGCCAGCTGGGGGCTCTAATTCCTGTTAATGTTGGGAAAATGGACACAGCAAAATCATTCTTCCATACTCTCAGGACTGCTGTGAGGCTGAAGAAAGAGGCTGTTTAAGTTAATAATTTCTTTTATGGGGATCAGCACAAAGCTGGTTCCTATGAGGCGGAGGTTAAAGATATTCCAAATGTCCAGCTTCTCCAAACCACTGTCACTGCATCATCTCTAACATCTACTACTCCTCCTCCCCTCAGAACTCTCCCTCTCCTCTTTGGGTTCTGTAATTTGCTGCAACGTCTCACAGAACTCACCAACTGTACTTACAGATGACTGGTTTATTACGGAAGTAACAGGGTACAACTTGGGATTGGGACCAACTTAGAAGTAACAGGAATGACTCAGGATGCAGTTCCTGGATCAGGCCAGCTTCTTCTCACCCTCTGCGCCGGCCCCTTCTCTGGCAAGTGTTAGAACTCTTAGCTCCGTGGGTCAGGCAAGCCCCACCGCAGCCGACCTGCACGGCTATCACTCGTTACTGCTGTGCCACTGTCTTTTTTTTTGCCTTTTTAAAAAATTGTGCTTTAAGTGAAAGTTTACAATTCAAGTTAGTCTCTCATACAAAAATTTATACACACATTGCTATGTGACCCTAGTTGCTCTCCCTATACTGTCACAGCACACTCCTCCCTTCCACCCCTGATCTCCCGTGTCCATTCAACCAGCTCCTGACCCTCTCTGCCTTCTCATCTCGCCTCCAGACAGGAGCTGCCCATTTAGTCTCATGTATCTACATGAGCTAAGAAGCACATTCTTCGTGAGTATCATATTTTGTGTCCCACAGTCCAATCTAATCTTTGTCTGAAGAGTTTGTGCCACTGTCTCTTGCTGTCTTCCATGTTACAGCTCTTCTCTGTGTATCCCTTTAAGCCTAGTGGATGGCAAAACTGACCAATCTGCTCCTTAGGGTTCCATATACCTTATTTGCATGGTCCCACCCCCACAAGGGTGCCATGCACCTTATTTACACTATTAGCAAACTATCCAACCTCCTTGGTGGGCCACAAGCACCTCATTTGCATAGTTTCACCCAGTCATTTGGTGGAAGTCACAAAGACTATGGCTAGAAGAGCCATATTAAGTAATTCACTACACCGCAGGCTGTGAAGGAAGGTCAGCTCCAGAAGGGCAAAGTAACCGGCCCTTTATAAGACACTTGCTCCCAGCCAGGTCTTTGCTCTCCGGCCACTGCCCAGATCTGCCCTCCTTATCCCTCTCCAAGGTGCTGCCTCCTACCCCTCAGGAGGATCAGTCACTCTGTTCAGAATCCCCAGAGACTCCCTGTGGTGGACAAGGTTGTGTCAACCCCAAAGCTTGTCCTCCGAAGACCCTTCCTCCCCAGTTCTGTCACGTGCCCTCCCACCTCCAATGGAGAGGAAGCACTGACCAGTGGACAAATCAGAGAACCTCACCCACCTTCCTGATTGGTTCAGGGATGGGCAGTGACCCAAACTAAGCCAATCAAAGTCTTCCCTGGGCTGTTCCTCAAGAGCTGACAGGGAAGACTTTGTGTCTTGCTAGCAGGTAGGAGGTTGAAGCTGCCAAGGCCCAGGCTCCAAGAGAAAGCTACTGCAGGGAGAAGGAATGAGGGCCACACAGAGGGAAGCAGAGGTGAGAGATGGAGCCAGCTGGGGAACAAGAAAGAAAGAGGTAAACAGAGAGACAGTGAAATCACCCTTAGTACCCAGGACCCAGCTGTTTCTGCAGACAGACCCACGCCTGGATTGCCCAGTGACCACAGCCAATCCAATCTCTTTTTGTTTGAGCCAGTTTAAGTTGGGTTTCTGTCTCTTGAAATTCAAAGAGTCCTGGCTGATACCCTCCCCACTACCCAGGAGCGGATTAACAGGTAAGCACCACACCCACTTACAGTAAGTAAGGTACACACAGGCTTACTTGTGCTTACTAATCTGTAGTGTGCAGATGTGGTGAAACCCAGGTGAAGCTGTGCACTACAGATTAGTAAATAAGCACAGTTAACCCTGTGCGTACCTTGCTTATTGGGGTCATTTGTCCATGCCACTACCTGAAAAATAAGGTGCGAGTCTTTGCACTTGGCATTCATGGCCTTCCACACTGTGCACCCTGCTTCCCTTCAGGCCTTGGCCCCTTGACACTTGTCCAGCCCTTTGCCATCTACAAAGAACTTTCACAGGCATGATCTGAAGTGACCCTCACCACAATCCAGGTGTTAGATGAGGAAACTGAGGCTTTAGTATTAAGTAATGTATGTGAGGTCACACAGGCAGTAAGGGAGGTAGACAGCCTGCAGTCAGGTCCTTTCAGACCATGGCCACTGCTGCCAAGCCCACCCAGCCATAATCCCTATGCCCTCCCTGGCCCCTCCTTCCTACCTCACTTGAGGACTGGCTATTCCTAAACCCCACACCTTGTGAGTTTCCAGGGCATATCATGGCTCAGGTCCTGTTTTTCTCTGCTGACCATGTTCCTTCACAGCCCAGTGTGTGCCCACCTCCCCTGAAGAGCTTTCTGCAGGAACACCTGCCTATCCTGATCTCCCTGCCCTCCTCTGAACTTCCAGCCTGCATTAGTCACTTGGCCTTGTGCTTCAGATACTGTGGGCTGAGTTGCTTTAATCCCGTCTTGCTTCCCCACATACAGGCACTGGAGGCAGGAGCCTGCCTTATGTCTCTTTAGATCTTCCTTTTGAAGAAGGTCGCTATGAGTCAGAATCAGCTCAACGGCAATGGTTTTTTCTTTCTTTTTCTTTTTGGTTTTTGAATAGTTAGGAGGCAGAAGTCACAACATGTGATAAGTGATGGGATTTTGGAAGCAAAGGCAAGAGAAGAGTCAAGTACAGTGACCCCAAGGTCTATGGCTTGTGTGTTATCACTAACCAAGCTCAGTGATGTGAGAGAAGGCTGAGGTTAGACAGGAGAGAAAAGGAGAACAGAGCTAGAGCTCCAGAGAAGGTGGGGCTGGAGATGGAGGCTTGGGAGGCTCTGGGAGTTGACATATTTACCCAAGATGAACACATTCAGGTGGAAGAGAAGATGACCAAGGACAGAACTCCAACATTTAAGGGACTGGCAGACGAAGATGAAGAGGAGAAGGAGGAGGACAGTGATGGAGACAGAGAAGAACAAGGAGAATGGTTTGTGAAAGTCACATGAGAAGGAATTTTAAGAAAAGATTGTTCAAAAGTGGAGAGTGATCCCAGAGGTTAATGGGACAAGGACTTTTTTCTATAAGGAGGGTGCCCACTGGACAGTCAACTGACAGCTTGCTGGGGACCAACGTTAGAGCAATGTCCTGGAGTGGTGGGGCTGAGGTCTGACAAAAATGGGCCAAGGGGCAACTGATGGACAAGAAGCTGAGAAAGCAAGTACAGATGACTCAGCCAAAAAGCCTGGCAAATTTGGGTTTAACAAAAGGAGGAAGATGCACTGAAAACTACAAAACATTGTCGAATGAAATTAGAGACCTAAATAAATGGAAAGACATTTTGTTCATAGATTGGAATACTTAATATTGTTAAGATGGCAGTACTCTCCAAAGTAATCTACAGATTCAAAGCAATTTCTATCAAAATCCCAGCAGCTTTTTTTGCAAAAATTGAAAAGCTGATCCTAAAATTAATATGGAAATGCAAGGGATTCAGAATAACCAAAACAATCTTGAAAAAGAAGAAGAAAATTGGAGGACTCACACTCTCAATTTCAAAACTTACTACAAAGCTACAATAATCAAGACTATGTGGTACTGGCATAAAGATAGACATATAAATCAATGGAATAGAACTGAAAGTCCAGAAATAAATCCATACATCTATGGTTAATTAATTTTCAACAATGGTGCCAAGACCATTCAATGAGGAAAGAATAATCTTTTCAACAAATGGTGTGGGGACAACTAGATATCCACATGCAAAAGAATAAAGTTGGACCCCTACCTCACACCATATAAAAAAGTTCACTCAAAATGGATCAAACACCTAAATTTAAGAGCTAGAATTATAAGACTCTTAGAATAAAACATAGGCATAAATTTTCATGGCCTTGGATCTGGCAGTGGATTCTTACATATGGCACCCAAAGCACAACCAACAAATAAATAAATAAAATCAATTTAGACTTCAACAAAATGAAAAACTTTTGTGCTTCAAAGGATACTATAAAGAAAGTAAAACAACAACCCACAGAATGGGAGAAATATTTGCAAATCATATATCTGGTAATGGACTTGTATTAAGAATATATAAAGAACTCTTACAACTCAACATTAAAAAAATAATCCTATTAAAATATAGGAAAAGGATTTCAATAGACATTTTTCCAAAGAAGATATATAATTGGCCAATAAGTACATGAAAAAATGCTTAACTTCATTAGTCATTAAGAAAATGCAAATCAAAACCATAAAGAGATATTACTTCACACTATTAAAAAAGAAAATAGTAAGTGTTGGTGAGGAGGTAGAGAAACTAGGGCCCTCATACATTGCTGGCAGGAATGTAAAATGGTGTAGCCACTGTGGAAAACAATTTGGCAATTTCTCAAAAGGTTAAACATATAGTTACCATATGACCGAGCAATTCCACTCCTAGGTATATACCCAAAGGAAGTGAAAACATATGCTCACACAAAAACTTGTACATGAATGTTCACAGCAGCATTATTCATAATAACCCAAAGGCAGAAACAATTCAAAAGTCCATCAACTGATTAATGAATTAACAAAATGTGGTATATCCATACAATGGAATATTATTTAGCCATAGAAAGGAATGACATACTGATACATACTACAGTATGGATGAACCCTGGAAACATGCTGTGTGAAAGAAGCCAGACAGAAAAGGCCACGTATTGTATGATTCCATTTCTATGAAATG